TAAATCATATAATTAAGTAAAGTAAATAATAATAAATAAATACATTTATAAATAATAAAAGACTTGCTTAGTGACTAGTCGAGTTAATATAGCGATTTTCGATGAATCAATAATGTATAATATATTTTAATAACAATAATACCTATTTCATCGATTACGTACGTTTGTATGATGATATTATAAAATAATATTTGATACGATGGTGCGATTGTAGCTTTAAATTAAAATTAAACCAGGAACTACGTGATAGCACAATTTATAATATTTGAAAAACAAAATTCTCAATCTGACTCGGCCGTCGTTGGTTTAAATTGGACTCCACAGTCGATACCAAAGAAATCGAAAAACCCCGCTACTCATCATTGATTCGCTTACAAAACGTATATACTTTGGATTCATCAATCTTCTCGTCTACCACAGCTAAATATCTTCTAAACGCGATTCGTGTTTTTTTTTTTTCATAAAGTATTTATTGAAAATGTCAACTGGTAATTTATTTATTTATTTTTATAACGTCGTACACGATATTATACTGCGAGTTTATTTCTCAAACGTCCTGTATTTCTTAAGCTTACGATTTATAATAATATAATATACCGCGATTTTGGTGTAAATAAACATGTTGGGTTTTATAATTAGATAGTCTCCCTGCTTGTGTTACTCTAGTGAAAAAAAAATTGTGTACTCGTCTCATTTATTTATTGTAAAAAATGAAGTATAGGTAATAAAATATTAAATAATAGATAAAATAAAAAAATTTTTGATTGAAAGACATCGCGAAAAAACAATACCTAATACTTGTTTAAATGGGTGGGTTTATACATACCTACCTATGTAATTTCAACGTCAAAATGTCGTATCGAAAAAAATAAGGCTCAGATTTCTATGTAAAGTGAATTACATTTTATATGTTCTAGGAATATTTATTTTAAGCACAAAATTTGTTTCATCCAATAGATAAAGTGAATTTTTTAATCTGAATTTTTCGATGTTTTTACAATTTAAGAGTACTTTTTTTTTTAAATTATTAATTTATTAATTTTTAGTATATTTATTAAAATATATTTTTTTTTTTTTTTTTATAATTTATGGTTTATTTCTTTTAAGGAATTAATAAACCGTGCCAAGTGTAATCGTTCTTTATATAAATGCGATAACATCTTTATCTATCTCCAGCGATTATCGGATATGGTTTCTTATACAGGCCTAAACAAATTGTAACTTATTAAAATAAACAGTGAAAAAATGTATTTTTAATATAGGTAGTGTTTATTTATTGTGTGTGTCTAGGTTCGGTTGTTTTGTCGTATTTTCGTTAGTTTATTGTACGCTTAAGATTGTTAAAAATGATAAAAATTAAACCGTCGTTTTTGTAGTTTCAGATTTATAAAAAAATATTGGTAATTTTTTGTATATTTTTGATAGTTTTTAGGGAAATTAAATCCAAGTTTTAATAATAATCTTATCGTTGATTTATTGTTATTCCAGGAACCGCACATCGAGAACAAATAAAATAAATATTATAAAATCAACAAACGTACGTCTTATAATCATATAACATGTGTATAGAGGACCAGTCGTCGTGCACTTATTTCATAAATATATTAAATTTACATAATTTATTATTTAGCTGTATAGGAATGTCAAGTGAGCCAACGAAATGTGACCGTCGCATAATATTCCCATTTCGGTGATTGGCAAGAAAACGTTACTGGGTGGCAAAATTACGAACACGATAAAATAATAATTAATCGTGTATTATGATATTACATACTATCTATTGGATAAAAATACATATTTTGTGGCTTAATACATTTAAGGTACACTTTTCAATCGAATATTTGAAAGTTTATGGTGCAGTTTTATATCACGAGTTTAGTTTTATAATATTATAATACTATTTTTTGAGTGTAGTGCATTATGTTTTGCAAACGGGTTGGGCATTTTTTCGACTACTTTTGCGGGTAAGTAAAAACCATGCAATAAGTGAAACAAATAATTAAAAAGCGTGAAAACATAACAGAATCACGTATTGTTTCATTATGATTAAATAGTTTACATGTTTTTGACGCTAGTAAACAACAAATAACAACGCTTATAGTACATTTAGTTTATATACATATTGCTGCTACATAAAATAATATACGAATTTTTAATTAAATTGTAAAAATGTGACTAAAGCTGATGAAACAAAATTATTGTAACCTTTTAAGACGGAAGTCAATCGAGATTAAAGTTCTATACTGACATTAATTTTGTGTTGAGTTAGCAACGGTTGTAACAATAAGCGGATCAATATTCTATCAATATTATTTAGATAGACAGGATGATTCATCTAGGCATGCTCACCCCTTTCACAATTTTCCTCTAATAATGCATTTATATAAATATAGATTTTTGTAATTTTTATGTATTTTTATTTTCCAAAACTCGGTTTTTAATATCATTTAAAGTGTCCATTAACGTTAAAAAAATTTTTTCCAAACGAGAAACATTTTTTCACTGTAATTTTTAAACAGATATTTTTTTTTACATTTTATATGTACCTAAAACAAAACTTAACCGTATAATTTTTTATTTATTAAAATTTGTGTAGGATAATATTTCACAATAGAAGAATTAGATGATGGGAATTTCAGTGAATTGAAAACTACTGTAACTGATCGAAATTTGGTAGTTTTATAATTTAATAACTAAATAAGTACTAAATTAAATATTAAATAGTATGTAGTATATTATAATTTATATTTTATGTAAAAATATTGATAAGAACTGTTGTTTATTTTTTGCAAATTAAGTTTAAGAAGCTAGTTACTACTTACTTAAATTTCAATTAAAACGCATAAAAAAAAAAAAATAAGTAGATAAAATAAATATTTGAGTAACAATTTACGACGAAAAGGAAGGATACATAGTTCTCATTTAGTAAATATGTTTATATCACAACAAGATTTTCTTTAAATTTTGTAAAAAAATTTAAGTAGGCTATTAAAAATCTATAATCTGTAAGTATAATTAATATTAAAAATATTAGAACTTGAATAAATGTATAAAGTATTTAAGTATACAGAAAAGAATGAGTATGCTTAATGAATCACTCTATAATTTATGTATATATGAGTATTACAAAAAAAAGAAAGAGAGTAATTTACAGAACAATTTTTCTGGTTTACTTAAATTTGTCGAAGTCGCATTGTACATTTGAACATTTATGACTCAAATGACATGACAACATTAGTGTATGTTTAAATGGCCAAATCTAACTATATCGTTTTTAGTCGTTATCGAAAACGCAAAAAAGTATAAAATATTGTAGCAACTATCAATGAACGTCGTACGCATTCACAGACCTAATATGGTTAAACAGAATAGTAATTAGAGTAATTATAATACAGTAGATAAGTACCGAAATGATTTGAACGTGTTCTTGTAATAACAATATTATAATTATTAATGTTGTGACGAGAGATGAACGAAAAATAAAAAAATGTAGATAGGTGCCTCTATTATATTTAAACGAAAAAATTTGTTTAAAATTCGATAGAAATATATTTATGCATGCAATACTGTTAAAATAAAATTAAAATCAAACAAGGTGAACAGACCCTTTTCTTAAAGCTACTTGATTTTCGAAAGCACCTACTAAAATATGGTTGTTAGAATATTTTAAGGATTTTAGATTTATTCGAACGATCAAAATAAAAAAAATAAATGAAGATAACTATAATCGATGTAAATATTTTGAAATTAACATTATTAAACTTTCCATTTTCTGTTTAATTTATTCTAGTGGTATAAATATTTAAGTTTTAGGCAGGATCACAACGAGGCGAAACATTTTATCTTGTATCATTGCTGTATGCCGTTTCGATAAGCGAATGAGCACCACAATCGAATCTTTGTACTTTTATTATCTTTTATTATTTTGTCGTCAGATATAAGTTTGAAAGAACGACGAGCACCGCAAATATGCTGTTTTACGTGTTTATTTATGACCTATAATCATAAATTTGCAATGGTTTCGACTATATCGCATATTTGCACACTTGCACGTAACTCATTTTGAAATTTGGAAAAACGATTTAATGTCCACGAAAACGACAAACCACATGCTACAATATATTATGTTGGTATCTGAAGAAATCTGCAACGGTCCATTGAATCTTTTAGGGTCATAAACTTTTTAAAATTAAATTAAAGCAAATGAGTAAAAATCAAAAAGACTCATATTCAATAACAGGTAATAATAATAATAATAAAAAAAAAAAAAAATAATAATTATAATAATAATAATAATAATATTACGATAACGACAATTCGACTAGAGATGCGACTCGATGTCGGAACGAGAGACAATCGTGCGGCTTGGCCAAAACGATAATAACATATTATTATAAGTACGAGTACATACATTCAAAACAAAACAAAATAAATAATTAAAGATAGTTTGGTTACCCATCAACTGATGACGATAACAATTAATGTCCTGCGTACTGAAAAACTTAATTCGTAGCGCTCCGCGTGGATAGAATCTCATAGCGTTTCTCAATCTCTTTAAACACCGCGGTCCAAGTTTACTCGGAAATACTTTAACAACGAATATCTTATCTATTCATAACCGGTATGGTTGTACAAATTAATTTTTCAAAATAAGGTAGGTACCTCTCTACTCATCGACCTACCAGTTTTACAAATCGAAAAACACCTGTTTTTGCGGCCGTCGAATTCGACTGACGGTGTTCACGGCTGTTATCATCACGGGTCGATGGGCCACCACACAATATACTACCGTTAAATCGCGGTACAATCGCTTATCGTCTACTCGCGGTGCACTCACCGCATTTATCGTTTACATTATTATTTTAAAACGCGCGACAGGGTTGAACAACATAGGTATCACACGTATAGGCGTAGGTGTTCTATCTGGACGTAACGTTTTCGAACCGATGCGAATCATTAAATCGTAGTCTGCAGAAAACGATCGGCGGCGGCGGTCATACAAAACTCTCTTTGAGCCGATCGTCGTCGACCTGCAGACGCGTCTTCACGCCGCGACGACGACCGAGCAAGGCGGTGACGACTGCCGCGGCCGCGCCGGTGACGTCCATTGGCCGGCGCTGTGCCGAACCGTTGCCCGTGCCGTTTCTGCATTCGGCGACGGTGCCGTCGGTGGTTCGCGTCTGCGGTCCGCTGCACGACCTCGACAACGTAGTGGTGAGCGTGCCGGTGTGCCGGAGCCGGAACACGTCCCGACGGCGTCTGCGGCGCCTGCGCCTCCGCCCGCCACATCCGATGACGCCGCAACCGTCGCCCGCGCCGGCGTCGTAGCTGTCGTAGCCGTCGTCCACGCCGTCGGCGCCGCCACCGCACTGGGACCGGCAGAGCTTGCAGAAGCCGCGCCGGAACTTCGACGACATCAGGTTGTACAGGATGGGGTTGACGGCCGAGTTCAGGTAGACCATGACCCGGGACGCGTACAGTATGATGTAGTAGTGCTTGAGGCCCAGGTCCAGGAACGTGTGCTCGGGCACCAGTATGATCCACATGGTGAACACGCGGAACGGGAGCAGGCACACGAAGAACGATAGGACGACGGTGGCCAGCATGAGCACCACCTGCCGGCGGGCGCGCTGGTTACAGGCGCTGTCCGTGCAGCTGGTGCCCGGGTCGGCCATCAGGTGCGCCGCGATCACCGTGTACAGGACGACCAGCACGAAAAGCGGTACCACGAAGAACGCGCCGATGATGGCCACGAAGAACGCTATCGGCCAGAACGTGTTGGCCTTGGTCAGGCACACCGGCACCTTGGTACCGTCGATGTAGTCCATTTGCGTGTATTCCGAGATCATCGTGATCGGACTGCGAACAGAAGAACAAAAACAAAAACAAAAAACAAAAATATGCGATTGTGCGTACTTTGATGATCGAACGACCATAGCGTAATAATGAACAAAATATACAAACGCAACAACAACAAAAATAACAAAATATGACATGATGTAAGCGTGTGAGTAGTATTCTTTACATATTATTATCATTATTATTAAATAGGTAATACAATAGTCGCATAAGTATAAATAATAGTATAATATACGGCCGTCGACGTCCCGTACAAAACGGGGCTGTTACGTTTTTAAGAACCCTGACCCTCTGTCGGGATACATTTCAAATGAGGCATTTTCGTCCTTGTTTTTTATAAAAAAAACATCCCATTTCAATCTCGTTATATCCATATTATTAAATCATCTTAGTATGTTCTACGTGCGCGAAAGAAAATCCCTGAACATGAAACAAATACGAATCAATACAGTTTACACTTTTATAATATTGAATTATTGAAACCATAGTTTAGAATTGCAATCCACATTTATTTTCACAACTATCGTCAGATTTCGGCAAATAATAAATTTTGAGCAATAACCACGTGTAAAAATATGAAACGTGTTGTATTGGTGTATTCCATAGCGTAATCTATGAACAAGCACAACTGCAGTGTTGGAAATAGATAATTAATAATTGCATTAACATTTTGCAAATATTCAGTGATATAGATACAAGTATCAGGTAAAAAAATAAATCATTTAAATCATTTTAAAATATAAACATAAAATAAAATAGTTTATTCATTAGAACACATGAAAAGTTATTCTCTGACTTAACTATACTAAAAAGCTTAAATTTGAAAAAATAAAAAAATAAATTTTTGAATAAACTTTATTAGAAGATGACAAGTCAATCTCTGAGTTAATAAAACAAAACAAAAAATAAATAATATTTGAAAAAAAATGATGTTTTTAATTTTAATTTTTCTTTTTTTAGCCCATAACAATAAATTATCTAGGTACTTATAGATAACTAGAATTTTAACTAAATGAAGATTAAAATAAATGAGTTGAAAATTATCTAGATAAGATAATAGATAAATTTATCTAGATCTTTTCTAACACTGTACGACTGTCACCCTTTATCATTCTCTATTCTTTGACATGCAAACACAAACAAAAATTAAATCGTTAAAAATTTAAACGATTTTTGGAGGTGTTTTTTTATAAAGTATAATCAAAATAGTTTGTCTCTAATTTTTTTTTTTTTTATACATAAAATATTATCATCTGAATATAATATTGGTACGCGCAGTCAGTCCCTACTTTTATTAGCATCCTAATATTAAATATTTATTGAATACATCGTGTTTGACCTATAATAATATTACGAGTATAGTAGTAAGGTATGTTATCGTTATTTTTTCTTGAATTTGAAAATATTACGTTGAAAAATTCTAAAATATGGCTGAGAGAAATGTGATTCACGAGCTATTTATTATAATTTTAATGTTATGCTTCAAATGCTTTACAAACTTTTATACAAAACACAAATATTTACAAAATATATTATATTAGTTATTATTAACAGTCAAATCGAAATTTGATTAAACTTGGCATATTCAATTGAGCAGCAATGATGCATTACGTACATACGATCCGCAGAAATAAAACATATAAATACTTATGTTCGAATTTTAAGAGAAGGTTCACCTGTTGAAAAATACAAGCACTTCAAGCGTATATTTGAATAAGACAATGTTATACAAAAAAAAAAAAAAAACTGATGAAATCGTTGACAACAATTTTTGGTTTTACTTTATTTTTTGTGAAATACGTACGAAAGTTGCAAAATACGATATAATTCTATTTGGCGTTTTAAAAACAAAATGTCATACATACACACACACACACACACATATATATATTGCGTATAACAATCGTGATTGTAATAAATAATAGTAAAACTATTTATACTTTATCGAATGACGTCAAATTATTGGCGGTAGTATTTTTATATTATGTTCAACTTTTACAAGTGATATGTCCGGAATATAATGAAAACCGTTGTTTAGTTTTATTTTTTTGTAAAAAATTGACATTAAATTTATTATATTCTAAGTTACAATAATATTTATAATGTATAGATTTATCATATTATAATATAGAAATTTTTGTCATTTAATATATATTTTTATTTCCAAATTTCAATAAATCTCAAAAAATTAATATATACAATAAATGTATATATATTATATATATTTAATTGATGAGATTAAATTATAGTAGGGATTTTTATATTTCCTTAAAATACGTGTATTTATTTATATTTATTTTTAAACGTAATATGAAATACTTTTTTAGGACAATAAATGTAAGTGAGAAAAAAAAGAACAACACTATAAGCATTAAAGAAGAAGCTATATATTAATGATATTTTTTAAAATTGTTTAATTATTGAACGTACCTACAGATTTTTACGAAATCATTATAAAAGATTTCTCTACATATAATTTTTAATATATTTTCAGGCATGTACTTAGTTTATTTAATTTTGAAAATAATGATCCGATAGTTTTAAATTGTATTTGGATTGAAATTATTACAACTAAATCAGGTATTATGCATATTCTAGAGGTATGATTTTGATTTTTTTTTTTTATTAGGTAAATTAAATAGTTATAGAACTTACAGATATATTTTAAATAAACTGTTATTGACGGATTTAGTTATTATCTTTGTTTCAGTTTGATCAATGTTTGGATATGCTAATAGTTATAAACAAATTAAATTAAAATATTGTATGTTTTTGACATCGTTTCAAACTTTTTTTGGTTCAGGCGTTTTATCAATTTAGATATTTATCTCCTTCATTTAATTAATATGTTAATTAAGGTAACACGGCGGCCGGGTTAGGCAATTCAGCTACATCACTTTCAAGTGGTTTCATTTTTTGGTATCCACATGATACTAATTAATTATTGTTGAAGTTTTAATATTTTCATTGCGAATTTTAATATAGGTTTATTTTTAAAGTTATTTATTTATATATTTTTAATTAGGTACCATTCTGGTGAGAATTATTTAAAAATAAAATGTTATCAATCGTGATGGACTCATATCGACAATAAAAATGTGTACTTTAATATTATTTCTATTTTCTCTGTTCGGCATTTACTGCACTTTTGGTTGTCGACCGCTATAATAAATAATAGTACACACAGAATTACGATTTTTCATAGATAATCAAAATATTGTGTTTTCACATATCGTTTTTTATTTTATTACTATATAGTTGTGGTCAGAGAACGAGTCGAGCATTACCAGCCCTACCTAAAGGCCGATAAACATCGCCCAGATCGTATGTGTTTCTTATCTGTACAAACCAGACACATGAAAACCTCGCGATATACTTTCAAAGTAATAATAATAGCTATATTATGTGTAGTATACACGCAGTGTTCCATTAATATGCCAGTCCAACACTCCAACCACGATCGTGCGAAATCCAACTGCAGCTGTATAATAATAATAATAAAAAAAAAAGAAACGGCATTTACCACCACACACACTGTTACTGAGGATATCGAGATTTCATATAAGGAATAAACGTATTGTTATTGGACTGAGTGGTGGCAGAAGAAGACTAAAAATATAATACAAGGCTTCTTCTTTAGAGAAATACGAATCAAAGATAATTGATTTTTCAACGATAATTTTTGTTTTGATTTTTTTATTAAGAATCTACAAATTAATCCATATTTTCCATGACATTAATTGACTATGTATTCTGATTCAAAAAAAAAAAAACACTTCAAAATATCTAAATTTCAATAATTCATGTTTTTTTTTTTTTATTACACTCATATGGTTATTTTTATATCAGCTTACATAATGTAAATAAATTAAAATTATTTGCTTGTATGTATGCAATTGATAAAACATTATTGATTTTAAATATTTATAGGTTTAGCAACTTAAAGTTGCATTGAGAAACCGGTCTACCTTGACTAAAAATTCTAATTTTTAATAGTTTTTATGATAAAAAAAAATTTGAGTGGTTCACTCATAATATATATAAATAAACCATTGATAATTTATATATTACATAATATTATTGAAGTTATTTAAAAAATATCAAAAAATGTTTATAGTTTTACCTACATTAAATAATAATTAAAAATATTATAATATAAATATTAAATGCAATTACGTAAATTATTGTGTATAACTAATTGGCCTTTTTTTTTTTAACAAAGTTGATTTTTAATAATTTTAAAGAAAGCTAGCTAATATAATGTGTTTTATTTACTCCATTGCAGAGAACTGTTATTATGTTTGGAGTAATTTCCTGTCATTTTAACCTAATGCTGACTGCAAATTAATTTAAATCGAAAAATAATGGCGATAACTCTACTGCAGCCGATCAATAGGAATTCTCACACAGTCGATCGAAGCATCATAAAAAATAAATTTATAAAATAATTAATAGGTCAAAAAACAATTAACATGATTTACTACCAATTTATTCTTTATTCAAATATGAAATAATTGAACTTATGGATTTACAAAAAAATTTGTAGGATGAGAAATAAATGTGAAATTAAATAAAAAAAAATAGTTAACTTTATATGTTTTTTTAGTTCTTTGCGATAAATGTAAAGTTTAAAATTTATAATTTTAATTGGTTATTGATACGTTTTCTAAGAAATCTAAACCTATTTTGATTTTTGACAATACGTTGATTGATTTATGAGTCTTTTAATCCTAAACATGATAACATTTTTCTTCTTTATTATTATTTTGTAGATAGATATTGTATATAAACATATATTTTAGTATGTGATAACTCAGTATCGGCGAAGACGGTGCGATGTGTGCACTTTTGGAACGGTTCCTCCGGGAAAAACTGGAGACGCAGAGACCAAACAGTAATTTCCGTCGATTGGTGACGGTGGTGGCGACAAGACGAAGGCTCTGGCCGAAAACCGGGCCCCATCGTAATTATTACGGTCGTGAGAGGTTTGTAAAAACAGC